TGGGGGTCTAAATTCACCTGCCATGATCTGGATGGAGTGATGTGGGCCAGCATGTTAACAGGTACCAGAAGGAATCTCCCTAATACATCTCAGGAAACCACAGGGTCAGGATGGGGACAGTGTGTGGACTCATCATGCAAATGCTGTAGCCCCTGCTGAGATGTTCTGATTCTGAAAACAGATATTCCCCCAAATACCATTCCCTAGTAAAACAGAACTGTGAACGCTTCTCCATGTGACGGAGCAGCCTGCCCTGTGTCCTTCCTGTGGTTCCAGGTCTGTGTGTGGAGTGGTGGATGCCGTGGATAAGTTGGCTTTCCCCTCCTTCCAGCATTCATTATTCTATCCCAGCCAATTATTTCAGAGAACTAGTGAAGTGAGCAAACAAGCTTAGTAAGACAGATTCCCCCTGGCCTGACTATCTTCAAGAGGGAACTGGAAATTCATTTGCACCGAGAGGATGCTTTGAATTGGCTTCTTCACAGAAGTGCTCCAGGGCTCAGAAAGGAGTACATCATATCACAGGGCAGCAGGCCCCGCCCAGGAGGGGCAGCAGGCCCCGCCCAGGAGGGGCGTCAGCCGGCCCACTGCCCCCGACTGCCCCCTACTGCCCCATGCCCGTTACCCACTGGAGCGAGAAGGAGCTATTCAGGATCCAATTCTTTAAATTACATGTAGAAACTCAGTGAAAATGACAACATAACAAATGGTATTTATAATCTTGGAGCCCAAGTGAAACTTTCATCACTGCAAACATTCCCTAAAGCCCCCAATTTCACTGCTGACTGAACCTTTCAGGTTTGTCGCCCGACCTCCAGTGGGAGGATGCAGAGAGGCAACTTAAATAAGTTTTTAAGACCTGTCCTGGGTTATGACACAAGTCGCTAGAATGTGACAGAATTGTTCCAACAGAAGGAACACTGATGAGCAGTGTTTTCTGTCCTTTTATCCATAGGTAAATGGATGATGACACTAGCAGGCCAGCGGTTGGGACTCTAAGCATTTTCTGACCATCAAGGCCCAGCCAAGCAAATTGGCATAAGCAGCAGTAGAATGTGACTACCTCAGGCAAGTTCTGAAGCCAGAGCCCCAGGAGGTCAGCAAAGGACCTCCCTGCTGTGCAGTGGGACCCTGGAGGTCCTAGAGAGCACCCTCATCAGGAGCCTCTCCCTTTCCCGTCCTCTCTACGTGCTCAGAGGATGGAGTAAGGAAATGCAAGCAGACCCTGGGGCAGGAGCAAGGTGGCCTCTAACAAAATGCCCAACCCCCTCCTGCTTATCCCACTAGAAATCAAGGAAGCTTGCAAAGGCCTCTCAGAGTGTAAGTTGCATCATCACAACTCAGAAAAGTTCTGTGAATCGGTTCCACCCCAGCAGTACAGAAAGCCTGTCGTTCCCTGCAGACCCATGCTGCCTGCTCACCTGTGCATTCAGCACCCAGACTCCTCCACCCCCGCCAGTGCATATGCCACACACACACCCCTCTGCATAGGTAGAGGCCATGTGTCTGCTAGAACTCATCTCAGTAGGCATTTTCTCTGGCAAGCCTTCCTTGACTCACTCCTAAGCAGAAAACCTCAAATTGTGCTCCCAAGGCCCCCATGGCTTGCATGGCCAGCCATGCGTTTCTCTATTTTACCACAAATCGTTCATCCCAGACTGTGATTGTCTTAGGCAAGATCATGTCTTGACCTAGTGTTCAGGACGTGTGTTGAATGAAAACAAACACAGCCTTACAGAAAACATCTTGGCTGATGACAGAAATCCTGCAGAGCCTTTCCCCAACACTTCGTCCTTTGTGGGGAACTGGTACCTCCACCGCCCAGGCTGTCCAGCCGGAAACTCGCTTATCCACTGCCCAGTCTGTCGCAAACTTCTCCCCTTCTCCCCTCCTACCTCCTGGTCTAGGGATTCACCATCTCTCACCTGGCCTATCTCAGCACTTTCCCACCTGCTGTTGACTAAAAGTCCCCCCTGCCTTCCACGGTCCCCGATCTCTCTGAAGCAAAATTCTTGTCATTCCCATTGCTTAATCCACCCCCCATTGCTAGACCTGCCCCGAGACAGACCTTCCTATCTGCTGCCTCACCCACTGGGGACTCATGTAGGGAACTGGTAACAGGGATGTTGGTATATTTTCCACTCTAGAGGCAGTTGGTTGGCACCTAAGATGTCCCCAGGTGTGACTTCTTGCTGCAAGCAATTCTGTTTATTTACTCCAGCGACCAGACACATGCTATTTTCTAAATGCACTGGGACATAAAAAGCTTTAGGTATGATTTCCCCAAAGAATAAAAGCCAGACTCTTTAGCATGACTTCAAGGTCCTTCAAGACCCCAGCCCCCTAATTCCTCCACCAGCCACTTCTCACGGCCACATGCTTCACTCCTGTCCGTCCGGCCACACCTCCCATGGCACAACCACAGGCACACAGGTGGGGAGCTGTGCTGCCTGGAGGTAGTGCTCCTTCTACCTGGAGCACTCTCCCTACTCTCCAAGGCCCCCTCAAGATAAATTCTCCATCCTTCTTCCCAACATTAACCTTTCCAAAGCTGGCTCGTTCAAAATTAATCTGAAAGGGAACCACATTAAAGATGGATCTCTCGTGTGTTTTTGTAATTCAGCTGGTTTAATTAAACCCAATGTAGCAGCGTGACTCTAACACCAGAAAGGTCTCCTTTTTGGAATAAATGTCTGGGTTCTCAGTTTGGGGTCGGCATGAGCACCAGCATCAGTTTCTTTTTCCTGTGGATTCCTTCCTGCTCACCTGAGCCTTGTCATTTCCCAGAATTAAAATTTCAAGTTCTACAAAGGATTGTACTTCAGGATTTGGAATCAGAGATTATTTTTGCTCACTCCTGTGAGCTATGTTTAGAGAAAGGTTGCTAATTTCAATGTCTTGGTGCCTATCCCCTGAGGCAGTCTCTGTCTCCCACACCAAGAGCTTTCCAGCTCATGTCTCTGCCTCTTGTCAGATGAATGTGAGTGACCAAGAATGGCAAAGGGAACAGAAACTTAACAAGGCTCAAACTTAACCAATTCCACAAAGAACAGATGCAACTACAGGACTTAATGTTTACTACGTTTTATTTATTGGCTCAAGAAAAAAATACGTTGACTAGCTACTAGGCTACTTTTCTTAATTAGGGTAAGGTATTCATGAATGTTTGCAACATTATTTTCTACACCTCTTGGTATGCCTGAAATATTTCATAACAGGGAGGACTTTCCCTGTCAAATTGCTTCGTCCATATTTAAGGAAAGCTGTGAGAAGCGTCAACCCACTGCACCCTTCTCGTTCTCCTTGGGAGGTGTCTCCTACCAGCTGGTGGGCAGATGTTCTGGAAACACTTATCCAATAGCAAGGGGGTGAGAGCTTTGCCCCAAAGAGTTGGTGGTTCTCTGTGTGCCACAGTTTTAACAAAAATTGCTGTTGTCAATGTCCATTAGCTATTTATCTTCCCAGTTCAAACTTCTTGGTTCTTATTTGCACAGGGAGAAGGGAAAGAACTTACTTTTACTAAGGACTAATGATGAGCAGTTAGAAGAATAATTGTGCTGGTTCTTCATCAAGGGTGTCGGTTTCTCCTCAAATTCAGTATTGATCGCTACCACCATCATCAGAGTAGGGATTCTATACACAGAGACAGGGAAATACTAACTCATCGTCTAGTTATTTATAGACCATGGAGCCCACAGTAATGGCTAACCTGGGTTTTGTGCACTAAAGGGGGAAGTAAAACATGTCTATCACAAGTTGTCTAACTCTGTAGGAGTTTGGTTTTGAGAATGCATCGAAAACGTCCCGGGCGAGTAGAGCAGGGCCATTATTATGACGTACTTGGTAAATTTCCATTGTGATAATCATTAGACAAAGCCACTAGTCAGGTCCAGCCCATGGCCAAGAACAGAATACGCAGACTATGATTTTCTCAGCCCCTCCCACTAGACAGCTGCTTATTTGGATGAGCAGGCCTCAATAAGCCTCTGCTGTCTCTGCCTTCTCTTTCTATTTGGATTAAGTTAAATCCCAGGATAAGGTGCCACACAAACTTTTTATAATCAAGCCATCCTAACCAATGGAATTGGTCCATGAAGAAGAGCCGTTATCATTCACCCACCAAGGCTGGCTATTATTATGAGTGTTGAAGAGGCTGGTTGGTCTTCCGGATAGTTAGTCCTCGGATGAATCATGAGCAGTAAATAGCCACCCACAGTTTTCCCTTCTGCTTCATTCCCCTTGTACAGCTCTCCCTCTTTTATAGAGGTAAATCCAGAGTTAGTGAAAAAGGAATGTAAAGCTAATCTAAAGATATCTGTCCACTTCACCAAAGATAGAAACCAACCCAGACAGGTCGATTTATTTGCATTACCCTTCCTTTCAGAACAGAATGGAAATAAGTGAGATTATGAGCACAAACCCATCTGCAGAACCTCAGTGTTACTGCCCAGGGTCTCCCCCGTCACCTGCACAGCCTGTTTGTGTTATAGATAAGGAAAAGTGAGGCCCCAAGTGCTTAAATAAAGTAGATGAGGCCACAAACCACACCTGGACACAGACACTTAAATCAAAATTCTCTTTTCAAGCGCAGCATGGGAACAATGACCTAGCTCCCCTCAGGCCCCAGAGACTGGGGTGACGAAGACCCAAGTACAACAATGCCAAAATCAAATGCCCTGGTACCGCAGCCAGTCGCCTCTATGGACTGTACTCTGAACTTTGTTCAGTTTACCTAAACAACTGGGGATTTTCCAGTGAAAAATCCAAATTAACATTTTAGCTGTCATGAATATATGTAAAGGGAACCCAAATGACTTTAACAAGCAGTGGAAACACGCTCACTGTCAAAAATTTGGAGTTTGTTTTGTCTGTTAATAATACTCTTTATAAAAATAAAGTACTGTAGGCTATGTAAATTATATCTAAATGAAGTTGTTAAAATTTCACTAATCTGAACTCGATATAGCTGATTTGTAAAGTATAATACAGGACATCTTGAATGAAAAAAATGCATTGCTTTAATTCTTAAGCCTTTTATTTGCTACAATGCAGAACATTTTACTTTTAGACATAGTGGGGTTTGGTTTTGCTGATATTTTCACCTATTCAACTGAACACAAGAGTCGAGAAAATTACATGGTAACTAGTAGCAACCTATCTGTAAATTTGGGCAAGTATATAGACCATTCTTCAATTGGACTGATGTTGCATCAACTGGTCAGTAAAGGCCTTTCTCTGTCTAATAATTGTGACATTCACCAAATCACTCTGGACAAGAATCTTGTAGAAATAATTAAAGGCTTTCATTTTATACATGGAAGAGCCATAAAATGTGGATGGCTTACATCAACTCATTGGATTTGCTCATCTTAAATTGCTCTGAGATTCAGAGAAATGAATATTTCTTCACATGTTATGCAACAGTTTCCCCCAAGGACCTTCTCATGCCCAATAAAATTAATGTGTCATCCAGACGCCCTTTAATCTGGATGCATGACATATAAACAGTCACTTCCGTCCTACACACTTACATAATTAGGAGACTCAGGGAATATGCAAAGATGGCAAGAGATCATTTGTTTCTTTGGCAATGACCTAGTGACAAATACATATTTCTTGGCAAGTAGCCCATAAGTTTTGGAATTATATCCAATTATATATGATGGCCTATTCCTTGCTTTACACGTACCGTAAGGGTTGGTCACCCCTCTCCTGCCATCTCTCTCAAGTAAACATTCCTTTCTTTGGAAATATGAAACGCTCCTAGATAAATACGCCCTTCTCCAGAGGAACACATTTCCCATTTGATTACAAATCCAAAGTCAGAGCTAAAAGTAATGCAGGCAGGCAGTTGAGGGTTCTTAGAAAACTTCCTTAAAATGACAAATGCATATGACATTAAAGCCATCCAATATGTCTACATGCCACCTTATTAAATTAAAAACACTAGTATATTTATACAATGTTTCCAATGGCTTATAGATTAGGATCCCAGAAATAAGATATGTCTTATAGCAAAAAATATACATATAGCAATCCACCTATAGTTTATATAAATGATGAAATGTTTTTGAATATATCTATATATCTATATATATACACATATATACTCTGTGTGTTGTGTGTATTTGCAGAATCAGGCACACAAATACTGCAGTCCTTCATTGGCTCTTCCACTTCAGTGTCAAGGACACCAGGTTTCAAAGTCTTAAGGATCGGAGCAAAGGTCACCGCTGAGGACAAAGGACGGGCTTGATGCACCTTCCCTTGTGAAGGACCAAGTTTGCAGGACAGTGGCAACCTGCAATGCATGGCTTACTGCATGGGCCAATCTCGTTCCAGTTGTCACAGGTCTTGACACATCCCGGGCCACAGGTATCATAGACAGCACCGTGCTTACACTGGGTGGCTGAAAAAGAGGAGACAGAGTTGTGACATGGAGAAAGGCCATGTTACTTCATCAGCAGCATGATCCATTCCTGCAGGCTCATGTCATTGCCCAGACCTGGCCACAGCACCGACCTGTCCATAGCACAGGCTCAGAATTGCCTTTTAACAAGGGAATCACAAACACCCAGCATTCCTCATACACTCTGGGAATTATCTATACAAATAGAACCCAAGATCTATTTGCTGGGCTAGTAAACTTCAACCAAAAAAAAATTATAAGCTGTGCACCAGCATGTCAATTCACTGAGGGCAGAATTTGCATCTGGTCTGCAGTCTCTAGCACCTATCACATTTTCTGGCACCTAGATGCATTAGGTATGGAAGCCATCAATAAATATTTGCTCAATAAATGTATGAGTCATGAAACAGATATAACCCCAATAGAGAGGGGTTTGGACATTTTCCATTTGCCCCTCTGGATCCACCCTCTGCTCTTCTTTACCATGTTCTGTACTCTGTGCTGTCCTCTCTGGATGACATCAATGGACTTCCCTGGGAACAGTTAACACCATCACCTTGATCTAGCGCCATTATCTAGGTTGGTGAATGTCGTCTTCATTCACCTTATCTTCCACTTTTCTCAACTAAATTCTCAACCGTTTCTCCCGCCCCTTCCAGGTGGATGGGATGTCCTTTGACTGTACACTCAGAGCACCTGCTGCCAACTTCCGTCCCTGCATTTACAGCATGAGATATAATCTCCAGTTTCATCCCCTTCCTCCTTCTCTGTCTTCCCCCCACCCCAAACACCAACTAAAACATAGGCTACTAGAGGGAAAAGCTGTTAAGCTTCTTTATTTTCAACAGTGGCACAGCACTTAACATGTCATGGGTACTCGGAAGACTGTGGGTCGACTGGATGGATATGTGGATGAGGGAGTGGCTGGGTAGATATCAACTTAGCTTTACATCTCTCGACTTACACTTCTCTGATAAGCTTTTGACTTTTCACCGATCCCTTCTAAGTTCTCTTTTTCTCTTCTAATTAGCTAACAGAATACCCTGTACATTGTACCTGCCTACTGATTAGGAAACATCCTAGCTGAATATCAGACTCACACACATAATCATATCCCCGTGTCCTTATGCTTCTATATACCAACGGTGACCACAGCTGGGAGTGAGGATCATCTGGACCCCAGCCCAGACCAATCAAATTAAAACTTCGGAAGTCCCAAGACCAGGATATCAGTAATAATAATAAAAAAAATCTATTCCTCCTGGTGATTACAATGGGCAGTCAGGATTGAGATTTGGTCCTTCAAACGGGCCTTATAGTCAAGCTTCAGTCACTGCAAGATGACTTTTCAGTAAGATTCATTTCTTCTTAGTAAATGAGAGAGCAACTAATATTTCCAAGTGGACGAGGTGCAAAGTGGGAGCTCCTACAGGTTCCCATCACTTCTCCCTCCAGCCCTGCTGGAGCGCTTCCCCATCCCAGAGCTTGGAGCCCGTCCTCTTTCAGAGTCATAGTCAGCTCCGCAGCTGGCGCACTCTTCACCGGCCAACCCCTCCCCCACTGCCTCTCCTCCTAATTTACACTAATCCTACATTTGCCACTTTCTTCCCTGCCCCATTTCCTCCAGGCACTTGGCCTATTATTCATCCTTCTCTTTGAACATAAATCTTTTCAGTCTCTGTTTAACAAAAAAATATTCCCTAAGCTATCAGACTCATTTTCTCTTCCCTTCCGCTCCAAACTTCATGGAAAAAATGTACAGTTTACCCTGTAAACTTCTGCAACTCACTAACACTGACAACTCACCTTCCTCACCCACCGCGTGACTGAAGCAGTTCCTGCCAAAGTTTTCGCTAATGACCAGATCCACTCATATAAAGGCAACTCCTGTTCTCCCAAGAGCACCCTGCAAAATATTTGGTCTTTTTGCCCTTTTTATCTAATGACACAGAACCCACTTGCTTCTTCCACTGACTTTCTGAGAACACCTTCCTCCTCTCCTGAGTTTCTCTGCCTGTTTCCTGGCACCAGATACTCAAATTCCCTCCCAGACTCTTCCCCTGACTTTATTTTCTCTTTATTTTCTCTTTCCTCAGTTACTACAGTTTAGCCTAACTTCAGAAAGCTCTGAAACTGATTATCATCAGCTGTGAATCTTTGCCCAATCCAATCATTTTTTATCTTAATTCAAAGTGACCTCCTTCAAGTAGATTCCTGCCTGCCTGCCCCCGATTCCCTCTCTCCCTGCATCCAAGGCTCTTCCCACGTTATACTTATTTGTTTATTTGCATTAATCCTCCAATTGTTAATGCAAACAGCTATAGTTCTTAATGCTTGTAGCAGTCCCTTGAGGCTCTTTTTAAAAATGTATTTATTCCTCAGCCCCATTCCTACAGATTTTTGCTCTGGGACTGAGTGAGGTCTGGGTAGTTGTCAATTGAAACAGTTCTAAGAGTCACTGTGACAGGAATGTCCAGGTGAAGAGAGGGAACTGCTGAGGACTGAGCTCCTGAGGGCAGGGTCCTTCTCTTCCATAACCCCAGGGTTGGCACAAGGCCAAGCACAGAGAAGCAACCAGGTAAATGCCTGTTGGGTGATGATTTCATCCGAACAACATTCAATCCATCATTCCATTGCCCAGGGTGGGTTCCATTTGGCTGGTCTTAAGTTCATTTTCGTCTCTGCTGTTTCCAAAATGCTTCTTTCAACTCACCCTACCTGCTAGAGCAGTGGTTCTCAACCCTCTCTAATGCCGTGACCTTTTAATACAGTTCCTCATAAAACTGTAATGGTGACCCCCCCTCAAGCATAAGATTATTTTTGTTGCTACTTCATAACTGTAATTTTGCTACTGTTATGAATCATAATGTAAATATCTGATATTCAGGAGACCCCCAAAGGGGTCACGACCCACAGGTTGAGAACGGCTGTAGAGACTTTATTCTCCTTCAAATCATGCAAGGATTCCTTCTGGTGTGAAAACTTCTCGGTGGAATTCTCTTTCCCACCATGTTCTTTCTTCTGTCCTGACTGTCTGATAGCCATGAACTCTCTCATGTCCTCTCCTCTCTCCGACCCCTCGAGTCTTTCTTTCTTTAGCTCTATCATTTAACTTCCGTGACATCGTACCTTTCCACTGTTGGGCATTCACATGTCCCTCACAGCCTACAGAAAGGAAGTAGACAGACAGTCAAAAAAAAATAAAGAACTACCAGGGGGAGAGAAGACCTTTCTTTCCAGTATTCTCCAGCATATGGATGCCAATCTCTATTTTAATTCAAGTTAAATCAGTCAAAATCTACTGAGCATCCACTCTGTGCTGGGCATTCTCTTAAGCCTGCATCAGATATTCCCTCTGAGCTCCAGGTATAGGAGACTGACTGGGATTATAACCCAGCAGGTGCAGCTAACAGGTAAATAGATCCTTAATAAAATGTAGGATGGACCATATTAGACAGTGAGGACAAAGCACTATGGAAGAACAAAAGAGATATTAGCTCAACATTGAGAGTTCTGCTGGGGTCAAGAAAGACTTCAGAGAACTGATCTCACTTAAGTTTTAAAAGGTGGATGGGAAGATAGACCGTGGCAGGAAGAGCTTCCCAGGCAGAGGGAGCAAGGGGGCAGAGCTGGGGTGTGGGCAACAGAAGGGGCTGACGCGTCCTCAGGGAAGGTGGATGCTTGGTGTGACGGGTGGACAGAATAATGGCATTTGAGGAGGCAAAGTGGTAGGAGATGAAGGCAGACAAGTAGGTAGAGGCCAGAGACAAATTACCACAGAAGCCTTGGCATAGAAAGGGAAGCCTTAGAAGAGTTTCAAGTGACGTTAGATTTACCTTCAGTTCAGCACAGCTCTTAGGTGATTCTAGAAAGTGAATACTGGCTGGAGCCCCACTTACCCCTGTGAACCCAGTTGTTTTGTCCTTTTAAAAAATGATTTTACTTCAGAGTCTTATGGGGTACAAACATTTTGGCTACATAAATTGCTTTTGTACCATCTGAGTAAAGTTCATAAGCACTGTTAGGTGTGAATTTGCCCATCTCCTCCCTCGCAATCTGCTCAATTTCTGACGAATGTAATTTCCATATGTGCACATAAGTGTTAATTGATTAGTTCCAACTTAATGGTGAGTATAGTGGTGTTTGTTTTTCCATTCTCGGGATGCTTGACTTAGAAGAATGATCCCCAGTTTCATCCAGGTTAATACAAGAAGTATTATAGTCCAGCAGACTAATGTAATTCCAATCGCTTTTTCAAACTTATAAAAGGCAATATGATTTGATTTGCACGTATGCATTTTAAAAAATCATTTGGTTAGTTTTTAAAAAGAACAAACAGAAAACTGCTAAAGCGGTTAGGGTTACAGTGCCTTTATTCACAAGGGGCATTCAAATAGCTATAGGTAACATGTAGAGGCATTACACGCTGGCTTTATCAATGCAATCACAGGCATGGCTCTGTGCCTCTCGGAACTCAGCCATCTTTATGTCCCCCTATTGGGTACTTTATTGCTTGAACTTTTGCAAGAGGCAACCAGTCAGCCAAGGGAAGGCTCAGTGTATATAACTAGGGCCGAGTCACTCCAGGGAAGGAGTTAGAATCATCTGGGGTTTGTAGAGGCAAAGAAGGAGACAGAACACTGCTCACACAACCTGGCAGACCATCCATCGTGCTCCAGGAACATGCAAACACCTGCTTTCCCACCACCTTTTCCATTTATAAAATGTATTAGTGAACGTGCTGTGACAATTAGCATCAGTTATAGGCAGGCAGCAGAAATCTGCTAAGGGTGGAAATGTAATAAACAGCAGATAAAACCATAGCTTTACAGACTCAGAACTACCTAATAACAACTACAAGTGATAAAGAGAAAATACACAGAAACGGGAAAGTCACTAAGGTTGATGAAGAGCTAGATAAGTATTCTGATGAATTAGTTGGTGCTTGTAAAGCTACATAAATATGTAAATATTCTTTTTTCCCTAAAATGGTCTTGCTTCTCTGCATTCTCTTAATGATTAAGGAGAAGACAATATCATAAACTGACCTGGATTCAACTCCCAGCTTCATCACTTCCTAGTTCTGTGACTTTCAGCAAATTACCTAACTATATTAAACCCTAATGTCCTCATCAATAAAATGTGGGTAAAGTAATGTTATAATATAGATTATTATAGGCATTAAATAAGATAACATATAAAATGCTAGTATAGTCCCTGGGGAAAAGAAATGCTTAGAAAATCATGAATAGCAATATAAATAATTGTTATGAAACTCTTAATAACTTCCCACTGAGGTCCTTAGCAAATTATATTTTATTTAGCAATTTCCATGCTAACAGAGTTCCGTTAGTCCTTCTTGCCACAATTAGCGGGCAAAAACTGTGTTAGTCATGACAGTGTTAAAATGCAGGCTAGCCTTCAAAATGTCACTTGTTCATGCAGTGTCTTGCCTGGCTGGCTTCTTATTTGTTCAACTTCCTAGCTTTTTATTCTGGATGATTTCTCTTCTCTGTCTTATGTGGCCTTAAGTGCTGTCATGAGTCAAAGGACCTGCAAGCTGAAAACAAGTAAAGAATATGCACATAGTCGTCCATATTCGAGACAAATCTGAAGGACTCTTCTGAGAGATGCTGCATGGCTCGGTACATTTATTTCTCCATGTAACAACTGTCAGTCTCTGGAAGTCCAAAACGTGAGTGTGCATGTGTGTGTAAAACATTCCCCTCCAACTGCACGCTGATGGAGCTGTACTTCACCCAGCTGGCTATGCTAATTTTAAGAGGCAAATGGAACCTTTCAGGACCCATATTCCTTTTCTATTAGAAAAAGAATTTTAGCTCCAGAGACTCAGACCCTGAAGTGCAGATGCTGACATGAAATGGGAAGCCCTCAAATGCAATGTGTGCCCTGAAACGCTGCTAGTATAGCTCTGGGTCAGGAAGAGAGGGTTCACATATCCTGTATCTACTATGATCCTAATCACAGTACCACCACAGCCAGTAAAATTCATAGAACTCTGCTGAGCCCCTGCATTATAACAGGATGGGTGGATGGATGGATGGATGAATGTGTGTTTGACTCCACTTTTTCTATTCATTTTCTGGTAGATTCAAAAGAAGGAGGAATAAAAATTAAAGAAAGGGGACTAGGAGAGTTCAAGATAGTTGGAAGGACACAATCCTTCAAAAGCATCACACATTCTACCCAGCACTACACATGAGATCAGAGGCCAGCCATCTGCCTTACCTTTCAGCAGCCAAACCTTAATATGAATTATTTTTATCAAATCAATGCTCTGCTGAGAAGGTCAGCATTAATGCAGACGCACTCTTGCTGTGGAAAGTGAATTCTGATGTTAATATTGGACTTGGGTTTGCGGAAAAGAGAGCAAAACCAAAATGGAAGTCAGAGGGAGGTCAAAAGGCTTTGGTGCTTTTTGAAAGGCACAGACTAGTGACTGTACCCCGGGGTTGGCTAAGGAAACTTTAGAACTCCCCAAATGCCCATCAGCCTACTCCCCCAAAGCCACTCATGTAAACACATAAACTAACTGAGTGGTTTCAACTCAAGTAGGTCAGAATCACCTGGGAAGTTTTAGAAAGTACACAAGGCCAACTGAAGCAGTATATCTGGGCCCAAGCAGAGGGTCATAGTTTATTTTTCAAGCTCCCGGGGTGAATCCAACACCCAGACAGCTTATGATCCATTAGTGTAAGAGAACAAGAAGTCTGTGCTACAGTCACAGCCTCAAGGCAATTCTTCTTGTCCCCTTCTTGTCCCACCTAACGGTGGCTGTGCTCTGTTGTCCACCAGTGTAGACATTCTGGAGCCAGCAATGGTGTAAACTGCTTTCTGCTCAACGAGGCCTAGTGCAGCCTGCTTACTGAAAGCCCCACTCTCATTATTCCAGGCAAATCTGGCCCTTTAAGGAGAAAAGTTTGCCAGTCTTTGGACTAGGTGCCAAACATTCAGTCACCTCATCTTCAAATTTAAATATAACACAGCAGCAGCTACCACTGACTGAACACCTCCTATGAGTTGGACCCTCTTTGAGATGCTTCAGATCCGTACCATTCGTGCTTGTAAGTCTGCACAGCAGATACTATTGTTAATGCCCCAGATTCCCAACTCTCAAATCTCTCCCCTTCTCTCCACATGCACTGCCACCATCAAGTTTCCAATAAGACTGTTGTCATAGCCTCCTGTCTATCCACCAGCTTTTCCAGTCATGTCCCCTTCTAATCTATTCTTACATCTCTCAAAAGCAAAAAGAAGCTTGCTTAAAATCCGCCCCAGTTTTTTTATTTCTCTCTTGCAATAAAAGCTAGATTTCTTTCTAAACCTGCTAAGCCCTGCACGGTCCAGCTCCTGCTCGGCCCTCACCCTCAGCCTGCCTCTCCCCTTGTCCACCAGGCTCAGCCACACTGGCTTCCTTCCAGTCTGACCATTTCCTACCCACAAACATTTCCTACAGCCATAGAACATGTTTCTCCTCCATAGAAAACTCGCCTGACGCCCTTCAGTCCTTCAGGACGAGGCTGAAGTATCACCTCCACAGAGAGGCCTTCCCTCTTCTTCCGTCTAAGTAGCAGCCCACCCCTCTACAGTTGTTTTCTATCACCCCACCCTGGTTTTTTGGTTCTTCATATTTATCATAATTTGCAAGTATCTGCTGTAGAGTTGTTATTTTTGTCTGGTCCTCCCACTGGACTGCCAGCACCTCGGTGACTGGGACTTCATCTCTTATGCTCCATCAAAGTACCCATAGTGGACAGCACAGGACCCGGTACTTAGCCACGTTGTAATAAATATTTCTTGGATGAGCAAAAGAGTCCATTTTACAGATATCAAACAATCTAATTAGCCTACCTGAGGCCAGAGAGCTAGTCACAGCAATTATAAAAATCTACCTTTCAGAGGGACTAGAACATTCCGCTGGGGTTTATATAACATTTTCTTTTAAAAAAAAAATACTTACCATGTTTATCCTGAAGACCTTTAATGACTATAATTGTCCTGACTCTTCTTTGGTCCACATATAACCTAAGCCACAGCTATGTGACTCTCTGTGAGCTAAGTACATCCAGCTGGTAGCTGGAGGATTTTGCAACAGTGGAAATCTTTATATTGTTTAAATATGCTTGTCATAAAGCATTTCTCTGAAGTGTTATGTAAATTGTCCCATGGGAAGCCCCTGTGTTTTGTCAAGTTATAATCCAGGTAGGCCACCAGTGGGATTTTCCTTTGGTGGGGAGGACATGGCCATTCACGTCAACATACACATGTCCCTTCTATTGCCAGCTGGGCCACTGTGGTAAACTTGTGATGGATGGATCCACCAGGAGCTTCTCACCTGCACAGTTCTGCTGAGGCTCCCAGCGGACCTTGATGCCTTCTCTCTGGCAGGCCCGGGTGTAAGCCAGAAATGACTCGCAGTAACAGTTTTTATGGACTGGGCATTCACACATGTCTGTCACACAGGACCTATGGAAACCAATGGAGAGGTACAAACATTTAAAAAGGTTTTTAATTTCATATTATGAAATATCCTCAATGTAACTTCAGAAAGGGTTAGGTAGGTAGATGGGGGACACTGGCCATTAAAATTCACTATTTTAGCTTGGAAACCTAAAATTGGTATATAAATTCTGTGTGACTCCTAAGTGGTGCAGACCTCTGAACAACGTGATACACCCATTAGGTTTCCTTTCTTCTAGAGCAGGACTATCCAATAGGACTTGATGTCACAACAGAAATGCTCTATCATCTCCACTGCCCAAAGCAATAGCCATTATCTACACGAGACGTTCGGAAGACAATACGATCAGAATTCACTTTTGTAGTATCTTAGCATCTAAGTTTTTCTTTCTTTTTTAGCAACACTGCATCTTCATTCTTAAGACTGCTAGGAGACAAAATCCAAATAAACATTTTAGGCCCTTAATTAGACTCAAAAATGAAGAGAATTCAATCAATCAAGAGAATTCAATCAATCAAGAGAATTCAATCAATCAATCTCTGTAGCTTAAATTTAAATACGGAAATGATGGGCCAGGATATAACTGAACTGAAATGTGCTTAAATGCAAACTAACCAATTTTCAGACATGTTGACCACAAAGACAACGTAATAATGACCTTACAGTAGTGTGTAACATTACAGCTTACAAAGCACTTTCATATGCGGTCTGTCACCGATAGGAAAGAAGGCACAGGACCATCTCTTGTTTTATAAACAAAGGGGTCATTTTACAAATGACTCATAAGCAGATGAGCAAATTAACTGTGTCACCTACCTTTAGAAATAGTGCTACATCATACCACGATCCTCATCTTCATCTTCCACCAAATTCACTGCCTAAGAATTTTGAGTTAACATTTATGCTAGAGGGCCCCACGATTTATAAAATTGAACTCCCCTGATATTTTCCATAACCTTGTTCATCAAATCCCCTTCCTTACAAAAGCTAATTCAAGGCTGAACACAGGAAAAATAATATTCAAGATTACAAATTACGCAGATAATCTTGAAAAGTGATTAAGAGGCATGGCCACCGGATATTTATAACGTCATTTTCCCTTAGTGTGGGATCTGTGCACGCCCGATTGTTCAGAGCAGTCATCTAGCCCTGAGCTGAAGTTGGCACAGCGCCTGCTCTGAACAAGAATTAAATGAAGAAACCTTATTAAAGGATCGATAGACTCAGAGTGTACCCACAAAGTTATTATAGCCCAATGCCCAAAGGCACAGCTTTGGGAAATTGAAGTTAACAGGGACAAAAGAGGAATGGTGTGAAACCGAAAGAGCTTCCTTTCACGTTATCGACTGAGAGATTATTTGATGAGTAATACTTAAGACACAAGAACCAGGAGAGAAAAACGGCCCCTTTTCCTTTCCATACTATTCAGAGAAGTATTTCTGAATACTCTCTCCCACTTTTTAAAAAAAAATAATTAATTTTTTTTATTCTCTCCCACTTTTGTAGCAGACCATCTAGCTCAAGGAAAGGAGAAGTGAGAGCTAAGCTCGGAAATTATAAGAAACACCAGTAGCATCTCGGTAATATATGCCTTGGTGATAAGGGGGTGGGGAAGCGATTCGGCTCTCCTTACCACGGGAGCGCATGAGACCAGAACCTCAGCGATAGGCAGTCTCTACACCTGCGGTGCAAATAGCCACGGGATCCCGTCTAGAAGAAGCTGGAGGAGAGGTCAGTCGGGGGCGTGCATGCTATTCCTTCAGGGACCCGCTCACTCTGACTTTTTCTGACTCCTACTTGCAGGGCCTTTGTCCGAGACCCTTCTAAGAAGACTGCTAAGATTTACTTTCCTATCGAGACTGTTTCTCTCTCTCTCCCTTCTGCTAACGCAAATAGCCCTCAGGTACCTAAGGGTAATTGCTCCCAAGCAAGATAGCACAGCAGTCCACCTCGGGATAATAGGTAAACTGGGGCACACTTTCATTCCAGAAATCCTGTGAAACCATCTTCACTAGCAAAGGCATCCAGGCACTAAACACAAAGCACTACCTTTTACATTGGGTGGAGTCTCCAGACTGCCAAAGAAAAGCCAAATAGTGTTTGTCCTTCAAATGGCCTCTACATGTCCAGGTATAAGCCCCCGTCAATACCATTTCCTAATTATTTCCGGTTTTAATTTCAGATTTCAGAATGACTCACACCCCTCATATTCATGCAGGCATTTCACGGCAACATTTTTGGCTGTCCCAGGTTCTAACTTCAAATCACATTCCTCTTTTGCTTCCCCAACAGAATGTGTCCCCCGCCCTCCCTCATGGCCCAGGGTGGGTGATTCTCTTTCCCTGGACACAGCTCCCACGGCTGTGTCATGGATAGAATGGCATCTCACGGGTCTGGAAAAATTGACAGAACTTACATGGAAAAAAAAACAAGTCTCAACGTGAGGAAATACGTTCTCCAATTTGAAAGAATGTCTACTGTAATTCTGCAAAATTCCATGGCCAATAAACAAATAAAATTGAATTTGTTTTGTTAAAGAAGTTGTTCGTGAAAGTATCCCTTCTCGGCTCGGCGCCTATAGCTCAACCGGCTAAGGCGCCAGCCACATACACCTAAGGTGGCGGGTTCGAATCCCCAGCCCGGACCCGCCAAATAACAATGACGGCTGCAACCAAAAAATGGCCAGGCGTTGTGGCGGGCGCCTGTGGTCCCAGCTACTTGGGAGGCAGAGGCAGGAGACTCGCTTGAGCCCAGGAGTTGGAGGTTGCTGTGAGCTGTAAATGCCATGGCACTCTGCCCAGGGGGACAGCCTGAGGCTCTGTCTCAAGAAAAAAAAAAGAAAAAAGAAAGTATCCCTTCTCTCCTGATTTCTACTCATGGTCATATGAAATAAATTAATTCAATTTAAAATAAATTATGGACAGTTAAATCCAGTCATTGAAAGAAAATGTTTGAAGTTACACATTTAATAATAACCACATACAAATATTCCATCTACCTCCCCACCAAACCCTTCTGACCCACAGACACAACGACAATAGCCCCACACTGCAAATCTAAGAAAGACGTGAGCTTTTTATATAACAGAGCTCACTAGAAACAACATTTGAGAGAAAAATGTTTGTAAAAGCCAGTCTTTTACTTGAAATAGTTTTTTTTTTAAATATTTCACAAACTTTTAAAGACTTGAAAGATGTGTTTTGTCACGAATGCTAAAATTCTAAGATATTTTTCACTCAGCAAGTTGATGATTTTTACACAAAACAGCAGCCAGGGTCTGTGAGAGAAAGTAGGGAAGGAGAGATCCCCCCACTCGGCCCTGCAGATGTGTGACCATGTCAGCCCCGACGTCCTGGATGCTGCCGTGTGAAGCATTTTATGTGGATTGTCTCCTATATGGCAATGGGATGTGAGGGTGGTCTTGTTACTGCTCCACTTAACAGATGGGCAAACTGAGGCTTGGGGATGTTAGGTAACTTGCTTGAGGCCACACAGCTAACCAGAACTACAAAACCAGTGCTGAGTCTCAGTTTGTTCTGATCTCAAAACCCACAATCCCAGTAACTACACAAGAAGATCTTTTTTAGAGAGCCATTTGGAGACATTTATGAATAGCCCAAAGAAAGGTTCTAATCCAGTGGTTCTCAACCTTCCTAATGCTGTGATCCTTTAATATAGTTCCTCATGTTGTAGTGACCCCCAAGCATAAAATTATTTTCGTTGCTACTTCATAACTGTAATTTTGCTACTGTTATGAACTGGAAGGTACATATCTGATATGCAGGAGACCCCCAAAGGGGTCGCGACCCACAGGTGGAGAACTGCTGTAAATCCTTTGATAGAAATTTTACACCTAAGGAAATGGCAATTCATATGGACAAAGACTTCACATATAGAGATTTTCATCTCAATGCTATTTAAAAAAATTTTTTTAAAGGAAAAAAAGGAATGAGCTAAATTGCTTGTATTAGAGGCCTAGTTAAATAAATTTACAGGGTGTCTATGGTGAAATGCTCTAGAGCCACTGCAGAGATGCTTGGAAATATATTTTAAAATATGAGGAAATATTCAGAAGGGAATTAACTGAAAAAAAACAACTGTGTTTCAACATTGTGTAATGGCACACTAAACACAGATCTGCCCAAAGAGTCACAATGGCCACCTCTGAGCAGTGGAATTACGGCTCTCTTCCATTTTCTTCATCTGTATTTTCTACAGTGACTACATATCACTTTCCTAAAAAGATAAACAGCACAGTTTATTTTAAAAACAATAAAGGAAATAATACAAAACACATTACTATTCAAATCGGAATTTAGGAAGTATGTTGGGATGAAGAGGAATAAAGAACGGGAGGAAATTCGAGCTTCCATTTATAGGTCTTAGCTAATAAACATCAGCCCTAATCGAACGCCCTCCCAGTCTGCGTACTGGCGGCCTCCTGATAAAGGCTTTGATTTCACTCTCTCTGTGTTTCCCTCACACTTTCACTTCACTGGTCTACTGAGGCTTTGGATGGAATAGATAATGGAATAATTATGTACTCTCCCACTGGTTACAAATGAATTCGTGAAGAGAAAAATAAAAACATCTTCAAATGCACTTCAAATTTCAGGGAGGGGTAAAACTATTGTTATTCAACTGTTCCATTCATGTTTAGCACACTTAATTCAATATGAAGAAAATCTAATTTATGACACAGTGGAGTTGAATTTTTATGAATTTATGGAAGATCGTTGTCCTTCCCTTAATCAGTATGCACCAATAGTGTACGCTTATATTCATTTTATTGAATAAGTAGCAGAATTTTATCACTTTGAGTAGTTACTGAGATTTGTGGCTTTGGTATCTCTGCTTTCATGACATTATTCTATCACAATTATGTTCTGTTTGATGGTGAGTTGGTCAGGAAACACAGCCGCCCGTGGCTCCAGTGGGAAAACACAGGCTGCCTTCCCCTGAGCTTTTCCAGGAAAGCTCTAGCCAAGAGGTAGAGAGTTCCTGC